TCTACGATTATCTCCACTCTTGTGTCTGCAGACAATGTTTGGTTCCGCAGCAACACTTCCTCAATATTGCAGAAATCGTTTCTATCGCTGACATTCATAGAAAGTGCAAGCCAGATTTCTAGCCAGTTGTCCTACCAATGATTTTGTTTCTTATCCACGTTGATGTAACTGTTGTGCTAATATTGTTGTCATAAAGTCTGTTGCTATTGTATAATCTGCTATATCTATAGCTTTATGTCCAAACACATCTCGGTCAGTCAGAATTTTCGATATACCTTTAAAATGGTAGTAGATTTCTACTTCACCCACTCCCTCCCCACCCAATCCCAAGGAGACTGGTGGGCCACAGATATACGGATTGTTGTTGTTGTTGTTGTTGTTGTTCTTCTTCTTCTTCTTCTCTTCTTCTTCTTCTTCTTCTTCTTCTTCTTCTTCTTCTTCTTCTTCTTCTTCTTCTTCTTCTTTTTCTTCTTCTTCTTCTTTGTAAGCCCCAGTGGAGCATAGTCTCTCAGCCAGCTTACGTTAAGTCGTTCTATCATTGGCTTTCGCACACAGCTCGTCCCATGTCCTTCCTCTGTTTTTAACTTCAATCTCTAGCGCCTTCTCCGTGTTTTTTGTTTGTTTAATGTGCTATATGTCTATGCCCCTGTGGGCTCCAGCACAAAGACATTCAAGTTATATCGTTCTCAACTTTTCTCAACGTGTCCTATCCAACGTCAGCGTCATTTCTTCACCTCTTGTTCCACTTACACTTTTTTAGTTCTCTCCCAAACCTCTACATTAGTGTTTTTATATTACCATGCCTCTGTTCTGCGCAGGCACCAGTTAATGATGGTCTGTAGTTTATTAGTTAATGCCTTTGCTGTTCTCCATGTTTCCGCTCCTTGCAACAATACTGATTTGACATCAGAATTTAAAAAAAAAAAATTAAGTTTTGTAATAGTTTTAATTTCCTTTGACCGCCTTAAATTTCTGATTTGATTCCCATGTTGCTGTGTGCATTCTGTTATGAGTGAAAATGCTTGCACAAAAGCGCACTGGTTTCCTGAACCAACATTCATGAATAATTCTCCGTTTTCATTCATTACTCATAGTCTACGTCTTCTTATAATCTATTCATTAGCTGTGTTATGATTAGGGCTGTACCGAAGATTAATTTTCACTATTCAGCCGAATACGAATAGCTGGACCAACTATTCGGCCGAATACGAATACGAATACGAATAGTGAATCATCATCATCAGGTGCTTTACCGACTGGCATGGGCGATTATGCCTCGCCACAATCTGCGATCTCCTGCAGCATGTATTAGTTCGTGTGCTGACACGCCTCCATGCCATGCAACAAGACTGTCAAGAATCTTCTCTCGTTGTCTTCCTCTATCCCTCCTTCCACAGATCTTTCCAGTGGTCACCACATGTTTCATTTTCCCTCATCTTATAACATGGCCGAAAAATGATGACATGACTGTCTCCTTCTGATGTCTGTGAGTAGTTGTCTTCGGGCTCCTGCCTCTATCAAAACTCTTGGTTGCTTATTTTTTTTATTTTTTTTGGGGGCTGTCCAATGTATTTTAAGCATTGTTCTATAAAACCACATCTCTGAGACCTCAAGAAATTGTTTGACCTGCCTACCGATTGTCCAGGACTTACAGCCATATCTTAAATCTGGATGTATGTAGCAAGCAAGAATTCTTTTTCTAACCTTCAATGACAAGGATATATTGCATATTGGGTGGAGGGTCGGTTATCATCGACAAGAGAAATGTAACCTGGTTGGGTGGAGGGTTGGTTATCATCGACAAGAGAGATGTAACCTGGTTGGGTGGAGGGTGGATTATCAGCGACAAGAGAAATGTAACCTGGTTGGGTGGAGGGTGGATTATCAGCGACAAGAGAAATGTAACCTGGTTGGGTGGTGGGTGGATTATCAGCGACAAGAGAAATGTAACCTGGTTGGGTGGTGGGTGGATTATCAGCGACAAGAGAAATGTAACCTGGTTGGGTGGTGGGTGGATTATCAGCGACAAGAGAAATGTAACCTGGTTGGGTGGAGGGTGGATTATCATCGACAAGAGAGATGTAACCTGGTTGGGTGGAGGGTGGATTATCAGCGACAAGAGAAATGTAACCTGGTTGGGTGGTGGGTGGGTTATCATCGACAAGAGTGCTGAAACAGGGTTGGATGGAGAGTGGGTTATCACCTCGGTTCCAAGGTGGACCCAGCCAAGAATGGATAATAAGTAATTTCATGGAAAGCAAAAGCGACCGGCACAATTCTGACTACATTGGCCATCCTGTGCTGATAGATCTATACAGATAAGTTTAGCATTATATGCCCTGTGCGGCCGATGCCTGATAACGGTCTTTGATCTGACCAACAGTACAACTGGGCAGCTCTTACATTCACCAACAGAGTTCAGGACATCCTAATCTCAGTATGAATCCAAGTACATGAAACTGGCTATGTTCGACACGACTATATACAGCAATATCCGTGTCCAGTTGCAAGCTGGATTAGGTCGAGCTGGCAGCTTCAATCGGCTTCTGCGTTCCCCTTTTCCCGTGATGGTTTCGGGCCCCATTTGAAGGGGACCAAGGGAAAATAGACCCACTGCCCCCATAACAAGCATGTCATAAAAGGCGACTAACTGGGGATGTTCCCTCTGAAATTGGCCTGTATTTGCCCGAGTAGGACGTGCAGTCTGCGTACGTAATCCGGATCTTTTAAAAACGTGTGTACACGCAGAATTCAAGTTCTGGAGCAAGACTGAATTCCAGAGGTGGACAAACACCCATAACTTTCCGCCGGAGTTTACAGCCGATAAACGCTAAGGAAAAAAAAAACAATTCCCCTTGACGGGGATACAAACCTAAGACCCATGGTCCGCTGGCAGCCTTCCAGTCACTGCGCCCTAATGCTTACACTGAATGCTGAAGCGAAGCATGAAGTGTTTTGATTGCGCCGCAGTCGCTCCAAGATGTGTCACGGAAGAGACAACAACGGCATCAACTAGGCTAAGATATGGTCTCGGCGAAACACAGTAGGCACGCTAAATCAAGTGTGGAGAATAAACACGCTAATTCGCACCGATCATGACAAAATCATCCACAAGATATCAACTCATGTGTCATCCTTTGCTAGCGTGCGTCTCTAGAGGCAAGAGCCCTAGCGAGGCATTGTTTGCTCCAAGAATTGGGCCCTAGGTCCTTATACAGCCCCTTGTTTATCAACTGGTCAAGCGTAAAGTGATTACCCGACTAGATTCTCCCATATTCTAGTGGAGAAGTTGAATTACCTCTACGCCATCTGCGGTTTATTCTGACTTAGACCACACGAACCATTCGCCAGAAATCGCCTTTTGACACCCCGTGTTTTCCTTTCATCAAATTCGTGTTTTTGTAAAGCATATAGCTCAGCCAAAACTTGTTTATGCTTGGCTCAGGCAATGTGCAACGCTCCTTGAGCCAGTCTTCCTCCATTGTGGACCAATTCTTGTCATGCTAATTTGAAATCTGACGCAGGTACGCCGAGACGTCTAATTCGTTAATCTGACTACAGCCTCCGGCAAACTACTCGGCTGTTTCCTGGCCCTATTAGAAAGTTTTAGTGGGGAATTTCTGCCTAATTCGGCTCAGAAAAAAGTCGGGGAGCTGGCAAGAGCATAACAAAGCAGCCATATTGAAAAGGAAACAATCAGCAGGGCATGCTTGGAGCTTCTGCAAGAAGCCACGTGACTGGATGGGGAATTCCCGCTGCGGGTGGCAGGGGAACAGCCAGACGTGGCCAGAAAAGGGTATCTAATTAAATATCGTATTGGGGTATAAGTGGCTGGGGTAACCGTGAGGCCACGAAGAGGTTGCTGAAGAGGAGTGCGATACAACTAACTAGTTGTGTAACAAACTTCACTTAGTTACCAGTGTTTGACTGGGCTCAGATAACCAAGGGCTGGCCCTCTTATAGGGTAGAAGTATCAAAAGTTTGGCGGGGCGAGAGGGGATCTTGGCTTCACAGCTCCGTCTTCAAACAAGACCTCAGACGGCTGATTGCCCGGCCCATTGAAGACATTCTAGATACTTGGGTGCTACCCGCATTTTGTTCTTTTATTCTGTTCCTGCTTCCTGACAGATCACACACACACACACACACACACACACACACACACACACACACATACACACACATTAGACACACACGCCGGCGCGCGAAAACACACACACACACATCACACAGACACACATCACACACACACCATTTTCAACTACAATAATAGACATGTCTATAGACAGTATAGTTTGATGTATGCAAATAGAGATACATTGTTATGCAAAACTATAGGCATGTATAGTTCTACTTTACACACACAAGCTTGCACATAAAGTTTGTGTATCAACAAAACATTGGAATCGCCTATGGGGCTCTCATACAACAATAGACCTCTTACATGTTTAAGGGCGACGTACAACGATATATCTCATACATTTGTGAGACTACAATAAAATATCTTATACACTTGCAAGTGCGACAAACAACAATATACTTGCTACGTTTGAAGTGTAACAGCAATATACCTGCTACATTTTTAAGTGTAACATACAGCAATACACCTGCAACATTTGTAAGTGCGACATACAACAATAAACCTGCTACATTTGTAAGTGCGACATACACCAATAAACCTGCTACATTTGTAAGTGCGACATACACCAATAAACCTGCTACATTTGTAAGTGCGACATACAACAATATAACTCTAGAGTTGTTATGCTGGGAGTTGGTTAAACAGAAGATTAAGTAGCGTCATGGCTGGTAAGTACCCTAACTTGCTAAGACAAGGTAACGTGTTTGAATCCCCAGAACTTGCATGTTGTGTTCGCAACTTCCGAGCTTCAACCTAGATTAATCTAACGCGTACTTGTCGAGATTTTTGCATTGTGTACTCGAGAAAGTGGCGAGCAAGAGAACTGATCACTTCACCCTAGTACAGTATGGACTAGAATATGCCTCAGTCTCCTCCTATTCCTTGTCTGTCAGCCGTTACTTCCACCAGGGAGGCAACATTATGTGATGCTGGAGATACGGACGCAGGGGGCTGTTTCTTTGCTTCTTCACATGTCTCGCCATCAATGTTTTCATTTTGTTTTCTTCTTCACATGTCTCGCCATCAATGTTTTCATTTTGTTTTCTTCTTCACATGTCTCGCCATCAATGTTTTCATTTTGTTTTCTTCTTCACATGTCTCGCCATCAATGTTTTCATTTTGTTTTCTTCTTCACATGTCTCGCCATCAATGTTTTCATTTTGTTTTCTTCTTCACATGTCTCGCCATCAATGTTTTCATTTTGTTTTCTTCTTCACATGTCTCGCCATCAATGTTTTCATTTTGTTTTCTTCTTCACATGTCTCGCCATCAATGTTTTCATTTTGTTTTCTTCTTCACATGTCTCGCCATCAATGTTTTCATTTTGTTTTCGGCTACAATTAAACCTGTTGACCAGAGTTTGATAATCCGCACTTTCCTCCAAGCCCCGTAAGAAAAGACAGTCTAGAGGAGACCGTGTTGCAAAGCTCTTCTACCCAATATTCTCATCCCTAATCACACCCTCCTCCCCCCACCTGTTCATTGTTGTTTTATTCTTCACCCCCCCCCCCCAAGAGCAAAAACTATTGCAGTATGCGCAGACAGTGCTAGGACTTCACAAGTGTCAGGGGGCACATTCGAACAACATAAATCAATTCTGTGCCGTCTTTACTATGACGATTAGCTATAGTCCACCCACTGATAGCTTTAAGAATAGCATGTGGTAAGGCCCAGTGTCTTCCACGGTGCGATTCTCAACCCATTGCCCCAATGTCACAAGCAGGGCTGATTTCGTTTTAAAACAGCAAGAACCCAACACTGATACTCGATCAACATGAAGATGTGGAACGCATTCACTAGCAAACTTTTGATTCACTGGCCATGTTTCCGTCACAGTACCCAGCACCCACGGCCTAAGTATCTGTCACAGTACCCAGCACCCACGGCCTAAGTATCTGTCACAGTACCCAGCACCCACTGTCTAAGTATCTGTCATAGTACCCAGCACCCACTGTCTAAGTATCTGTCACAGTACCCATCACCCACTGTCTAAGTATCAGTCACAGTACCCAGCATCCACTGTATAAGTATCAGTCACAGTACCCAGCACCCACTGTCTAAGTATCTGTCACAGTACCCAGCACCCACTGTCTAAGTATCTGTCACAGTGCCCAGTACCCACTGTCTAAGTATCTGTCACAGTACCCAGCACCCACTGTCTAAGTATCTGTCACAGTACCCAGCACTCACTGTCTAAGTATCTGTCACAGTGCCCAGTACCCACTGTCTAAGTATCTGTCACAGTACCCAGCACCCACTGTCTAAGTATCAGTCACAGTACCCAGCACTCACTGTCTAAGTATCAGTCACAGTACCCAGCACCCACTGTCTAAGTATCTGTCACAGTACCCAGCACTCACTGTCTAAGTATCAGTCACAGTGCCCAGTACCCACGGCCTAAGCCTCTATCTCTTCTGATCAACCATTTGATGGTAACGAATTGTGTCATATCCAGAATCTACGCGAATTTATGTCAGAATTATATGCACTGCAGCCGCCAACTCCAGGGCTCACTCGGAGATTGAATGGGCTGCGACAATATGTTATTTGTGTAAGGGTGAACAGCTCAACTGTTCTCGGCGATCTGACAGATATGAAGTTGATAATTTCCTCATTAAAAAATGAATGTCTTTCCTGCAGAAAGTGTCTCTAATGGAGCGTAATTGTGCCCAAATTTCCATCCGTGACTGATTGGCTGCCATTACCGCTCTATTTGTCTGAGTTGTCAGCTGGCTTCAGCAGCGGTCTTGCGCAAACACGTCCCACCTGCGTCAAGCCAACTTTAGGCACAACTTTCGTTTGAGAAGAACTGAAGTTGCAGCCGTATTACCAACTCTATTAGCTGTTGGATGTTGCACGAGGTAACGCCTCCGCTAAATACATGTTACAGTATAGTTCCAGGGCGAAGAGTTGTAAGGAAACAAAAATATCATCTCATATAATAAGCAATATGGCCCGTCATAGCATCAGGAAATATCTGCAAGTCGAAGGAAATTAAAGTTAGTACTCAACTAATAATATTGATCAGCGACACATGTTGTCATAGTGGCGGATTCGCAAAGCTTGTTCAGGAAGACGGAGCCGAGTTGTTGTCCTATGGACTGCAGTACATCCACCCAGAGGTCAGCGGTGGTCAGAGTCATGTGGATATTTGGCTCGGGTCATTCAGATGTGTTTGGGAACGAGCAGGCAGATAGGCTGGCTGGAATGGCCCCATTTGGGGGTGTACTGACTGCAGCTGCACAAGGCAGTGGTGCTCTCAAACCTGTGGGACGGACTAACAGGTGACATGCAAGATACTGAACATTCGTACAGCGATCAATGGCTTTGGGTTGTGTGCGCCATTCAAGACTCGGAGACGAGGCAAGACCAGTAGTTAACACCATGACAACCGGCACCATGTGTATCACAACTCTTCGCTGGCTTTTGAGGGGGGGGGGAGATGAGGGGAAAGGGGAGGTGGAGTGAAAGGGGGTGGGGTGAGAGGGGGTGGGGTTTAGAGGGGGTGGGGTGGGTGAGCTATTAGGGGCGTGTCCTGGGTGTTGTGAAGTCGAATCTTGACCCAAATGAACTCAGATCTTTGGATGATTTCAATGCGTGTCGTGAAAGGCGCTGAGAGTTTACTATTACAATGTTTTAGTGTTCAACTCTGTCAACAGTGTTTTAGTGTTCAACTCTGTCAACAATGTTTTAGTTTTCAACTCTGTCAACAATGTTTTAGTGTTCTACTCTGTCAACAATGTTTTAGTGTTCAACTCTGTCAACAATGTTTTAGTGTTCAACTCTGTCAACAATGTTTTAGTTTTCAACTCTGTCAACAATGTTTTAGTGTTCTACTCTGTCAACAATGTTTTAGTGTTCTACTCTGTCAACAATGTTTTAGTGTTCTACTCTGTCAACAATGTTTTAGTGTTCAACTCTGTCAACAATGTTTTAGTGTTCAACTCTGTCAACAATGTTTTAGTGTTCAACTCTGTCAACAATGTTTTAGTGTTCAACTCTGTCAACAATGTTTTAGTGTTCAACTCTGTCAACAATGTTTTAGTGTTCAACTCTGTCAACAATGTTTTAGTGTTCAACTCTGTCAACAATGTTTTAGTGTTCAACTCTGTCAACAATGTTTTAGTGTTCAACTCTGTCAACAATGTTTTAGTGTTCAACTCTGTCAACAATGATTTAGTGTTCAACTCTGTCAACAATGTTTTAGTGTTCTACTCTGTCAACAATGTTTTAGTGTTCAACTCTGTCAACAATGATTTAGTGTTCAACTCTGTCAACAATGTTTTAGTGTTAAACTCTGCCAACAATGTTTTAGTGTTCTACTCTGTCAACAATGTTTTAGTGTTTAACTCTGCCAACAATGTTTTAGTTTTCAACTCTGTCAACAATGTTTTAGTTTTCAACTCTGCCAACAATGTTTTAGTTTTCAACTCTGTCAACAATGTTTTAGTTTTCAACTCTGTCAACAATGTTTTAGTTTTCAACTCTGTCAACAATGTTTTAGTTTTCAACTCTGTCAACAATGTTTTAGTTTTCAACTCTGTCAACAATGTTTTAGTTTTCAACTCTGTCAACAATGTTTTAGTTTTCAACTCTGTCAACAATGTTTTAGTTTTCAACTCTGCCAACAATGTTTTAGTTTTCAACTCTGTCAACAATGTTTTAGTTTTCAACTCTGCCAACAATGTTTTAGTTTTCAACTCTGCCAACAATGTTTTAGTTTTCAACTCTGTCAACAATGTTTTAGTGTTCTACTCTGTCAACAATGTTTTAGTGTTCTACTCTGTCAACAATGTTTTAGTTTTCAACTCTGTCAACAATGTTTTAGTTTTCAACTCTGTCAACAATGTTTTAGTGTTCTACTCTGTCAACAATGTTTTAGTTTTCAACTCTGTCAACAATGTTTTAGTGTTCAACTCTGTCAACAATGTTTTAGTGTTCAACTCTGTCAACAATGTTTTAGTGTTCTACTCTGTCAACAATTAATTAATTTGTTTTTGTTCAAACGACGGATCAATATTTGTTCACGGAAATAATATGGTTTGATTTTTGACCCCAAATGTTTTAGTATCGCTGTATGGAGGATGGTTCAGTAGTATTTGGCCTTGACCTTCCTTGTACCCCAGAAAGTTAAAAGAACACAATGCATCATGGTACACGAGTCATTTCTATGGTACACAGGTCATTTCCATGGTACACAGGTCATTCCTATGGTACACAGGTCATTTCCATGGTACACTGGTCATTCCCATGGTACACAGGTCATTCCCATGGTACACAGGTCATTCCCATGGTACACAGGTCATTCAAATGGTACACAGGTCATTCCCATGGTACACGAGTCATTTCTATGGTACACAGGTCATTCCCATGGTACACATGTTATTCCCATGGTACACAGGTCATTCCCATGGTAAACGGGTCAATACCATGGTACACAGGTCATTCCCATGGTACACAGGTCCTTTCCATGCTACTCGGGTTATTCCCATGGTACTCAGGTTATTCCCATGTTACACATGTCATTCTCATGGTACACGGGTCAATACCATGGTACAAAGGTCATTCCCATGGTACACGGGTCATTCCCATGGTACACAGGTCATTCCCATGGTACACAGGTCATTCCCATGTTACACAGGTCATTTGCCGTTGCGACACAGGAACCACTAGAAGGCAGACAATATACTGACTGTTGACATGGAATCCTAGTTAAGTAACATATCTGGCCTCAAAGATAGCAAAAGCGTGATTCAACATACTTGATAACTTCATACAATCTAGACAGAAGAAGAAAACAAGAGTGACCTGTTGGCAATCATCCAACTCCACAGAAAAATGTAAGTAGAAAAGATGTGTGGGTGTGTGGGTGTGTGGGTGACTGTGGGTTTGCGTGTGTGTGTAAAGAGAGAAAGAGAAAAAGAGAGAGACAGACAAAGAGACAGAGAGACAGAGAGAGAGAGTGATAGAGAGAGAGAGAGAGAGAGAGAGAGAGAGAGAGAGAGAGAGAAAGAGAAAGAGACAGAGAGAGAGAGAAAGAGAGAGAGAGAGAAATAGAGACAGAATGCTTGACTTTACGCAGCCAACACTTCCTAAATCGCGGAAACACATAACGACTGATCAGAAACACGACCCAGAGACACAGCCTAGAGACACGGCCCAGAGACACGGACCAGAGACACAGCCTAGAGACACGGCCCAGAGACACGGACCAGAGACACAGCCTAGAGACACGGCCCAGAGACACGACCCAGAGACACGGCCCAGAGACACGGCCCAGAGACACGGCCCAGAGACACGGACCAGAGACACAGCCTAGAGACACGGCCCAGAGACACGGCCCAGAGACACGACCCAGAGACACGGCCCAGAGACACGGACCAGAGACACGGCCCAGAGACACGACCCCGAGACACGGCCCAGAGAAACGGACCAGAGACACGGCCCAGAGACACGGCCCAGAAACCCGGCCCAGAGACACAGCCCAGAGTAACCACCCAAAGACGCGACCCAGAGACGCGACCCAGAGACGTGACCCAGAGACGCGACCCAGAGACACAGCCCAGAGACACAGCCCAGAGACACGGCCCAGAGACACAGCCCAGAGACACAGCCCAGAGACACAGCCCAGAGACACAGCCCAGAGACACAGCCCAGAGACACAGCCCAGAGACACAGCCCAGAGACACAGCCCAGAGACACAGCCCAGAGACACAGCCCAGAGACACGGCCCAGAGACACAGCCCAGAGACACGGCCCAGAGACACAGCCCAGAGACACAGCCCAGAGACACAGCCCAGAGACACAGCCCAGAGACACAGTCCAGAGACACAGCCCAGAGACACGGCCTGGAGACACGGCCCAGAGACACAGCCCAGAGACACGACCCAGAGACACAGCCCAGAGACACGGCCCAGAGACACGGCCCAGAGACACAGCCCAGAGACACGACCCAGAGACACAGCCCAGAGACACGGCTCAGAGAAACAGCCCAGAGACACGGCTCAAAGAAACAGCCCAGAGACACGGCTCAGAGAAACGGCCCAGAGACACCAGAGTACAGAGACACGGCCCAGACAAACGACCCAGAGACGCGACCCAGAGACACAGCCCAGAGACACAGCCCAGAGACACGGCCCAGAGACACAGCCCAGAGACACGGCCTAGAGACACGGCCCAGATACACGGCCTAGAGACACGGCACAAAGACAGCCCAGAGACAAGGCCCAGAGACACGGCCTAGAGACACGGCCCAGAGACACGGCCCAGAGACACGGCACAGAAACACGGCCCAGAGACACAGACTAGGTACACGGCTCAGAGACACGGCCTAGAGACACGGCACTGAGACACGGCACAGAGACACGGCACAGAGACACGTTACAGAGACACGGCACATAAACACCGCACAGAAACACAGCACAGAGACATGGCACAGAAAACGGCACAGAAACACAGCAAAGAGTCACAGCCAGGATACACGGCCTAGAGACACGGCACAGAGACACGGCACAGAGACACGGCCAAGAGACACGGCCCAGATACACGGCCTAGAGACGCGGCCCAGAGACACGACACAGAAGCACGGCACAGAAACACAGAACAGAGACACGGTACAGAGACACGGCTTAGAGACACGACACAGAGACACGGCTTAGAGACACGACACAGAGACACAGCCAATAGACACGGCCCAGAGCAACGGCTCAGAGACACGGCACAGAGACACAGCCTAGGGACACGGCACAGAGAAACGGCACAGAGACACGACACAGGGACACAGCCTAGTGACACGGCACAGGGACACAACCTAGTGACACGGCCCAGAAACACGGCACAGAGACACGGCACTGAGACACGGCACAGGGACACGACACAGAGACACGACACAGAGACACAGCACAGGGACACGGCACAGGGACACAGCCTAGGGACATGGCACAGAGACACGGCACAGGGACACAGTCTAGTGACACGGCATATAGACACGGCACAGAAACACGGAACAGAGACACGGCACAGAGACACGGCACAGAGACACGGCACAGAGACACTGTACAGAGACACAGCATAGCGACACGGCCTAGAGACACGGCACAGGGACACAGCCTAGGGACACGGCCTAGAGACACGGCCTAGCGACACGGCCTAGAGACACGGCCCAGAGACACGGCACAGAGACACGGCACAGAGACACAGCCTAGGGACACGGCCCAAAGACACAGCTTATTGACACGGCACAGAGACACAGCCCATGGACACAGCCTACGGACACGGCCCAGAGACAGCCCAGAGACACAGCCCAGAGACACGGCCCATGGACACAGCCTAGGGACACGGCCCAGAGACACGGCACAGGAACACAGCCCAGAGACACAGCCCAGATACACAGCCCAGAGACACAGCCTAAGGACACGGCACAGAGACACACCCAGAGACACAGCCTAGGGACACAGCCCAGAGACACAGCCCAGAGACACAGCCTAGGGACACAGCCTAGGGACACAGCACAGAGACACACCCAGAGACACAGCCTAGGGACACAGCCTAGGGACACGGCACAGAGACACAGCCCAGAGACACAGCCCAAAGACACACCCAGAGACACAGCCTAGGGACACGGCCTAGAGACACGACCCAGAGACAAGACACAGAAGCACGGCACAGAAACACAGAACAGAGACACGGTACAGAGACACGGCTTAGAGACACAGCACAGAGACACGGCCCATAGACACGGCCCAGAGCAACGGCACAGAGACACGGCACAGAGACACGTCTCAGAGACACGGCACAGAGACGCAGCCTAGGGACACGGCACAATGACACGGCACATGGACACAGCCTAGGGACACGGCACAGAGACACGGCACAGAGACACGACACAGGGACACAGCCTAGTGACACGGCACAGAGACACGGCACAGAGACACGGCACACAGACACAGCACAGAGACACGGCACAGGGACACAACCTAGTGACACGGCCCAGAGACACGGCACAGAGACACGGCACTGAGACACGGCACAGAGAAACAGCACAGGGACACGGCACAGGGACACAGTCTAGTGACACGGCAGAGAGAAACGGCACAGAAACACAGAACAGAGACACGGCACAGAGACACGGCACAGAGACACGGCACAGAGACACTGTACAGAGACACAGCCTAGCGACACGGCCTAGAGACACGGCACAGGGACACAGCCTACGTACACGGCCCAGAGACGCGGCACAGAGACACGGCACAGAGACACAGCCTAGGGACACGGCCCAGAGACACGGCACAAAGACACAGACTAGAGACATGGCCCAGAGACACAGCTTATTGACACGGCACACAGACACAGCCCATGGACACAGCCTACGGACACGGCCCAGAGACAGCCCAGAGACACAGCCTAGGGAGACGGCACAGAGACACACCCAGAGACACAGCCTAGGGGCACGGCACAGAGACACAGCCCAGAGACACAGGCCAGAGACACAGCCTATG